TTTTAATTTTATAGAAAGTACAACAGTCTGGTTTTAACATCAGACATCAATCAAGGTGTACACACACGTTCAGTGACTAGATTTCACTGGGACACGGCATTGCTGCACAGGTAGGACTCACGTTGCTCTCCCACTCATAGCAGACAGTGTCACCAGCTGTTCCTCTTCATGTGAAAGCAGACTGGACAAAGAATGTCACAGCCACGTGACCAAGCAAAAACAGGGATACCGGTACCCAAACTGTCCTCACACCACGAACAACATATGCAAGAAAAATCCACATGGAAAAGGGCGATGCACTGACATGCCAGAGAGTCAGAAAAAGTGATTGTGTAAAAGAACTCTCATAACCTCACAGGCTTAAAAAAAACTACTAGTTTGTACTTAAGTGGTATCTTTTTGTAGTAGAATGACTAGTTCTCCAAAGGGAACCTGTAGTGGCATTTCCCTTCCTCCCCCACAACCCCCAACCAAAGTCCCTCCATGTAGAGTCCCTGCTATAGAAGTGCTGGGAGGATGATTCTGTTGTACTGGGCGGAGGGCTGTTTATAAGCCTGCAGGGCATTCTGCGGACGCGAGGGTGTCTGCGCCTGGGTTATGTGAGTGCGAAGGACGCGATGGCAGACTAATAATGTCGTTCCTGGAGGCAGCACTGGGCTGCTAGACCTGCAAGGCAGCAGCAAGTCCCGTGGGATTTCAGGGTAATTTAATCAGCAGCACTCCAGCACCACACAAAGCAAGGGCAGGGGCGCAATAAAGTGAGCACGCAGCTCCTGCAGCTCTTCTGTTCAAGCTGCGGGGGAAGTGTGACACAAGGGTAGGGCGCCCCCCACCCCAGCAGGACCGACACTTGGAACCGGGCAGTTCTGCGTCACGGGAGCTGACCTGGGAACCGTGGAGTGTTTACCAGCGTCCCTGGCCTTGACCCACTAGATCCACCACATTCCCCAACTGTGATGAAATCGTCTCCAGGCAAAACTGCCCCCATTCGCTGCCTTACATCAACCTGGAAAGTTAGTTGACACATGAGCCACTTGCCTCTGTATACGCTGTAGGTAGGTGTGGCACAGAGCTGAGAAAGAAAAGGGGGTTAGGCTTTGTTCCTGTAAAAATGCTCTGCAAGGGTCACCAACAGGCACTTCACGGCTGAATGAGAAATGGCCAACCAAAACACAGATGTCCACCTCACTAGCAATTAAATAAATACAAATCAGAACATTGAGATCCATTAGCAAAAAGTTAAAAAATACTAACACAGGATTCTCAAGGGAATGGCAAGAGACACTCTCCTGCAGTGTAGGTGAGAGTAAAAAACTGGTGAAAAGTTATCAGATAAACAAACGTGTATGTAAACGCCTATCAATGCATTCCTTGTAGTAGCAAAAAATGGTAATAAGCTAATTGTGCTCAGCAGGGGATTAACATTATTGCATATCCCTTGAAACAGACACCATGTGGTCATTAAAAATTATATGAGCCCATATGTAAGGATGTCCAGTATAGGATTCATTTCTACGTAGGAAAATCTCACAAGAGAAAAAAAAAGCTACGCTTATCTCCAGGATGTGTGATTTTAGATTACTGCTTTCATCTTTACATATTTGTGGATTATCTGAATTTTTTAAAGGTTTTATTTATTTTTTAGAGAGATGGGAAGGGAGGGAGAAAGGAGGAGAGAAACATCGATGTGTAAGAGATACATCTACCGACCGACCTGGCCTGCAACCCATGCAGGGGCCTTGACTGGGAACTGAACAGGCTATCTGGTTGCTGCCCAGCGCTCAATCCACTGAACCACACCAGCCAGGGCTGAATTATCTGAAATGTTTATCTTTAGCACGAGTTCTCTAAAAAGTAGTAATAAAAACAATACTGAGAGCTCTGTTGTTACCACCCTTCCACCTGAAGGGCCAGCCTATCCCCACCATGCTATGACCTCACTCACCTGCTCGGTGCAGACAGACTTCCTGCCAAGCACTGGGCCTCGCCGACACCTCACAACCCTAGGAGAGGCGGATGTGACCCTATTTTACAGAGGAACAGCCTGAGTGCCCAAGGCCAAGCCATTAGTAAGGAGTAGTTAATGATAACGGGGCAAACTCTCCCCTGTCTGTGAGTATACCAAATAGGCAGCCTCTCCATACAGCTACACTTTACCTGTAAATCTCAATGATGGAAAAAGCAAATTATGTGATCCTTTCCCACAGTTCTTTGCAGCTACACCAACCGAAACACAACCCAAATGCCCTCTAAGTAACTTTTTGGGAGCGGCAGGTTGAAAACCATATTCACTGCTCTACACTCCTGCCCCCTGCTTTCCAACAGCCACTCGGCTCACCCTTCACTGCCAGCTCCAGGGCCTGCCAGAGTCTCTGGCCCAGTGCAGGCGAGTCACTCTCTCCTTTGTGCATGGCCATATCAGTGCCATTTTGTCCATTTTTTTCCCAGTTGACATATCTCATCTTTACTGCCTCAGCAAGGAGCACAGTAATTAAGATTCAGAAGTGGGGGAAGAGCTTTAAATTACCCAATAATCTTTAGCCCCATTCAATATTTAATAACTTTTTTCTAAACCAAAGGTGTTTTCGCCCCTTCTTTCATATTTGCCTAAAATTCCAATACGTATCATGCACTTTGCTAGGTGCTGAGCATAGAAAACCAAGAGATCTCTAATTCTAGAAGCCTTCAGTCAGGGGAACCAGAAACAAACCAGGGATTGGTGAGCAGGGAGGTGTCCTAGGCTGGAAGGCTGGGAACACCAGTCCAGGTCCTCGGATGACTTCATTATTGTCGTCTGCAGCATTGGGAGTTTCCAAAACAGTGAACACGCCCCTAATTGACTTCAGGACAAAAAACATATTCCAGGGCCAAATGAAAATGACCTTTGGAGTATCGACCCAATTTGGCTATTTATGCCACCTCTCCCCTCTTTTGGCCTGGACAACTGAAATCTATACCCTCTCACGGGGGATGCCTATAGATGAGTCAGCACTGGAGCTGGCCAGAGGGGGTGAGAAGGACAGCAGCCCTGGAGCCCCAGATGAAGTTGTTTTGGTCTGTCATTAATTCTCAGTGGGGACTCTGGGAAGTCACTTCACCTCTTACTATTGCCTCATCTAGGAGGTGGAAATACAAGCAAGCTTGTAATTTTATATCACGAGGGTGCAGATAATGTTTCTGAAAGCATTGAAAATGCAAAGCGTGCTTAGTCAATACTCAAGTACAAAGTAAACAGCCATGTGTTAACCTTTCATATAACTCTTTTCACATTAAATCTATGTTATGTTGTTCAAGAGTTCAAGTAAACTCAAAGGAGGGGCTGATACCAGTGACCACAGAAAACGAACTCGAGTCTCATACTGACATGCACATTTCTTTCACAAAGTTTGATTTAGCACCAATGAACACAGAGAACTTGAAAAGTCCATTGCAAACTGAATACATTTCTTGGGATCTGACATTTAAAAATAATTGCCACACACAGTTGATCCTCTAAGAAAACTTATCTATGGGGACAAACTACTTTGGGAAGATAAGTAAGAAGTACTGGAAGCTAAGGGAAATGACCACTACATACCGCAGAAATATACTGAAAGGCAGGCATGGCCCAAAGAAAAACCTCCATTGGAAAAAAATGTCGAGAACAGATTGTAAAACTAATGCTCTGCTCCACGGTCAACAACTTGAACAACCAAAAACATGAAAAAGATCTTGCCCAATTCCTCTGGGGTCAGCGAGGGACTCCAGGAAAGAGTTGTGCATTAATGGAACTCCTGAGAGCAGAGAGCAGCATGTCTTCATCTGAGGACCAATACTCTTGGGCGTGACCCAGAGAGGTTTACCGTTGTGCTAGAAACAGGCACACTCCTGGAGCACATGGACCAGCAACCTGCATGTCCAGCGTTCATTCACTCGTCCCACTGAGGGGAGAGGTTAAGTCTCTTACAGCTCCTTGCTAGAAATTAGGATTTTCTTCTTTTCTTCTCACATCATAGGGAAATCGAACATCTGTATCTGTTACAGCTCCTGAAGCTGAAAGCAATAAAGGATGGTCACTAATAACCAGTTGCTAGATGTTATCTCCACTGAGGAATCGCCTTCACACAGGGTTTCCATGACACGGGAGGAGAGAGGCTGCCGGCCATTTTCCTGAGGCTGCCACTGGACCAGGGCTTAACAGACCAGTTGCTTCATAGGAAACGAGAACAAAATTCTCCGGAACGGCAAGTCAGAATCTCTGATTAAAAGGATGCTTACACATAGGTATGTAAGTACCCCAAACACCCCTAGGAAAAAAATCTGAGAAGACTTAGATTTTGCCAGCTGCTAAAAACTGCTAGAAACTTGGCACCAGATTGGAATGGAGCGGTATCTTTGAGATTTTACACAATTTTTCAGATGTCAGCATGAAGTGTCCAGGGCCCACTCCTGAGGATGCTGTTAAAACAAAACCAAAACAACTACCTTGAGAGAACATGCACATTCTAAGAGGCCCAACATTTCATCTGGGTGCAGGGATGATTTAAAACTCATGAAACTCAAGAACACAAGAAAACAACAACAACAAAAACATCCTTGAATATATTCAACAATCAAGGCAAGGCATTTTCCCATATAAAACATTGTAATTTTCCCACTAATCCAAAGAAATCCAATAAATAACTTTACAGTGAAGGGCCCTGATGAGCACTGTGAGTGACCACAGGTCCCCGAGCAGCTGCAATGGTGGAGGCACCCAAAGCGCCAACCCCTCCACCACAAGGTCGCCTGCAGTTCTGTCTTCTTCAAATATGACCCGCTGGTGTTTCCAAGCTGCTTTACAGACCAATCCCATCTGGTAAAGCCCGGCGGGGAGTGAGCCAAAGAGTTCAACCCAAGAAGTGGTCAAAGCCAAGGTTTCCACACGACAACTCCCCCTTCTTCCAGGGGACTAGTGACCGCTGAGGCCTGGCTTCAGGCTGCAAGTGCTTCAGTCACGTGCGCTCGGCCGATCTTCTGCGCCCATCACGCCGGGAAGAGCTCGGGAGGGCTCTCTCCATAGCAATACTTTGCTATGGGATCCCTATAGGTGTTCTCATGCTGCACGCTCTGTTGGCAAAAGGGAAGATAAGAGCTCCATGAGAGAGCAGTCTCGCACGCCTCCCTTTCGGAGCTGCGAGAGTCAAAGCAGGACTGCTGTCAGACACTCCCTGCAGGAGCCTGGCCGAGTCAGTCTCCAAATGTCACTGAAAGGCTCCAAGGCACTTTCTGGAACAAAGGCGAATGTTCAATGCAGAATGCCAATGAAAAGCATGAATATGGACATAACATCACTGCAAGACTGTTTCTTTTTATGTATACTAGTGAGTTTTTAACGACCTCACTGTGACCTGGGCAACTCAAGACAGCTATTTTTTCCTCAAATTATTTTATATTAGATTAAGATCCAATTGGTGTTTTGCAACTGACCATGTGCTTCAGAAAAATTCAGTTGCTGGTACTGAACCCTGCAGAGATGGAGGAGATACACTTCAAATTGCTTTCATAAAGTTTTATGTACCTCTAGGTTTGGCATGCAAGCCAAATCCCACAATACCAGACAAGCCTCATTTGGCTAAGCAAATGGGAAGTGTGATTTAGAACAGACAATCATCCGGATGGCTAATTTTTCAGCAATTTGTTTTCATACAGGCGACTTGAGTTTTTGGCTAGTGTACAGTTCGTTAATTAGCCCAAGACCAATACTAAACATCTATGTTGTAAGTATTAATCCAATTTACCGACCTGTAGCCAAAAGCTTCTTTCTTGGGATACTGCTATCAAAACAATTGGCAACTGGGAAATCTTTCTTTACAATAAAAAGACTAAGTCAGAAAGTTTAGCATCGTCACTCACAAGTGAAAATAACTCCGGAGTTTTATCAGTTAAGGAAAGAAAATATTTCGCCTTTTCTGGCGTTCCTCAGAATGAGAGAGAATCTGAATCAAAATGAGTCATGTGTTCAGCCTTCCTCCACATTTCCTTTAAGGCCCATTCAAGTGGAAAGCTCTTCCAACAAAACAAGCCCATCAGGAATTTCTTCATGTTTTCAAATGCTCATTATAATCCCTGAAACATTTACCCAATGAGGCTGAATGCTCTAAGAGCAGACCAGAGACATGAAAAGCGGCGTAAAATCAAAAGGTGGACTACAGAAATCTGGCAAAGAGTACAGAGTTCCAGAAAATGACAAATGAGTCAGTTATCTCAGACGAAGCCAGTACAATCTTGGAGACACCATGAATAGAAGCCAGAAGAAGTGTGCTTGTATAACAAACACGGCTGGTGATTTTACAAAGACAGCCCCCACAATTGCCCAACCACAGAAGCTGAGAGCCGAGGACACCGTGATGGAAAGCAGACTTTCAGACGCTTTCAGCAGCAGGTGCAATGTTCAGTGCCCAAAGAGCAAAGCATTTAATGACAGCATGCTAATAAGTATTGAGAGCTCGACAACCTACACATTTACTCATGTATTTTTAAACACCACCTGCCCCATCCCCTTGAATTCTAAAATAAACCTCAACTCTGTCCCAGAACAAATTAATACTTACTGTCAATGAGTGGTTGCTGCTGGAAAGCCTTAGTCAAATTTCAGACAAAAACCAAAGAACTTCTCTCAGAAACTGGACATGTAGATTCCGCCCAGACATAAAAAGAATTTTAAGCTCCCACTTAAAGTGTAGATGTGTCAACCAGAGAGAGGAGATGCAAGTTGATTATATCTTGATTTAATAAAAGTATTTTACTTCTCTAACTTGTATAAATCTCATGTTGACATTCTAAACACTATCATTCTCCCAAAGCTTCATGTGAATCTCTTCTCCATTATCATCCATATCATATGTTCTATCATAATATCTTCATTATCATAATTTGTTTTATTCTAGCCCTTACTCCCACCACCCAGCCCCCAGCTACAAACATCAGATCTGCTGACCTGGGATGAGGTCCTGCATTTAGCCAAACACAATTCAAAGTGATCTTCGACTGCCATGAAGAGGTTCTGGAATGCCACAGCTGCCCGGTTGAGGAACCGCTCCAAGAGAAGTTGCTATGGAAACAAAAGTTAGTACCTGTAATAAATTCCAGACTCAGCAGCACAAGGTCATCTTGGCTATTTGTCCTAAACTAAGAGACTGCTGAAGCAGGGTAGAGGTGGAGGTAAGAGAAAGGGAGACAGCGAGTTCAAACGGGCAAGAGCACCAGTATCTTATTCATTAGCTATCTGATCAGCAACACAATGGCCCATTCTGCAAAAGATCCATTCAAGTAACTGGGAACCACCTTCTTTCTTGTAGACAAAGGCTACTTCTCAGCAGCAATTTCTGACACCTACAAAGTTCCCTTTTAGTTCTATTTTCCGAAGAACCCAATTACTCATCATAAAATGAAGGCGGAAAGACAAGAGCAGACTTAGAACGAGAAGCAGCTCTCCATACCTTGTTGGGCTGCAGGCAGCAGGAAACGCAGTGCTCGTAAGCGCTGCAGCAGCCGTTGGGCAAGCAGCCATCACAGCAGTACTGCTTGGTGCTCTGGACGTTGACATTACAGCAGCCATTCACCAACAAATCCTTCCTCTCACAAACGTATCCTGCAAGTCAGAGACTACCCTGAGCATAAAACCAGCAGGCCTCCCAACTCCCTACCAGGGGTGATGTGGATGCAGCAATGCAGGCACTACGTGCAAAGAACAGAGACAGAATCTGGAGACCAGAGCACCGAAAGCACCAGTGAGGTAGGGGTCAGACACTGTGTGGTGAGGACTCCCTTCACACATGCAGTCCTTTACAAAAAAAACCACGTAACTCGCTATTATAAGTAGGCTCTACAACCTCGTCTACCTAAAATAACCTGTTAGCCTGCTATTGTGTACTTGATTTAATCACCATATCAAGTCATGCCTGTGTTTACCTGTTCTAACCTAGGCAAGCCATTTTCTTCATCTATGCCTGAGAAAAATGCCATTTTTTTCAAACAAAAAAACCTGAAAATAGGAAAAATGAAGGCATTAATTCCAGAAAGTGAGATCCTTCTAGATTAAAACAAACACACACCACCACCTCCCTTTGCAACTATCTTTCAAAAGATTTCCATTTACTTAGTAGTTTGGAGAATTTTTAGATATAAAAGTAGTCACACCTCACCTTTATAAATTGATTTAGGCTGTTTTTAAGTATATATACCAAGTATTCAATTACCCCCTCAACATCAGGAAAAGAAAGTCCTCTACATCCTAATTCCCTTCATTCCTCATAAATTCCATCATCTATTTAAACACGCTTCCTTCAGCCAATCCATGCTCAACTCTAAGGAAAGAATTGCCCTGCAAAAGTTAATTTACTGTTCAGACCTGCTAAACAGACATTTCTCTACATCCTTGTGGGAGTGGGACAGAAAAATGTGAGAAGAAGTGCATAAGGGACACCACTTGGCCCTTGGGAAATTACCAGGTGCACACACGAGCTCACAGGTGCACGCCCAGGCCCACAGGTGCAGAGCAGCTGTTCCTAGATCATTCCATTCCAAATGCCCCAGCTTCTAAATCCTCAGAGAATGATACTTGGTGAAGTATAAGGTTGTTTTCAGAAACTACTCTGGAAAACAAAGTCTGTGCAAAAGTAGGAGGCAGTCAAACAATGAAAGAAACTAGAAGAGCCCTCACACTTGGAAAACTGAGGCTAACCAGAGAACTGGTGCTTTTTGTTACTTTATGCCATTCTGTGTTCTAAATTAACAGCATGATTCTAATGCCATCACAAATGTTTCTGAGGTCTTCTAATTATTCTTACCCATGTTCTTCATTGTGATTATTAAAAGAAAAAAAAATTCTATCTCTGGCTGGATTGGCTCATTTGGTTGGAGCATCGTGCCGTAAGCTGAAAAGCTACGGGTTCAATTTCCGGTCAGAGCACAGGCCTAAGTTGCAGATTTGTTCCCTGGTCAGGACGTGTACCAGAGGCAACCAATCGATGTTTCTCTCCCTCCCTTCCCCTCCCTCTAAAATTAATAAGCATGCCCTTAGGTGAGGACTTAAAAAAAATCCAAGTAAGCCAACATGTTTCTCGAAATTCTGCCACAAATGATAAATACACTGCAAACCTATCACTTCAGTGTCAGGAAGATGTAAAATATAATGTGACCTACGCCCCACCTCTTGCAGTTATCTTTCTGCCCTTTTCCCTTTTCCACATTCTAAGTGTCAGCATCTCAGGCCTTCCCTTTCTCCCCAGTGCTGCCTGCCGGCAGCCTTGAAACCACAGGTCTTTCTAATTTCTAGTGAAAGAAAGCTCATCAAGATTTCTCACCTTCTGCATCATAAATCTAATCATGCAAACATCTCTTCCAACAAGGAATCGTGTAGGATCTCAACGAAAGAATGTGTTGCTATTGACTGAAAAATTAACTTCTAACCTTTGAAAAGCCTGAAATTCTAATTGGTTGTCTTGTTTAATAACGTGTAACCCTAGCAATACTCATGGTGACATCTGATTCCTAAAAGGCATAAATTCCCGCAAGTTTTCTTTATTAAATTGCTTCTCTCTTCTCCCATATTCATTAAGGTAAAATATCATCTATGGCTCTTGAATTTTTAATTGATACTTGCAACTTTTTACTTAAGAAGTCTGAGAGTCTTTGTCTCACTCAGATTAATAAGAAAATTATTCTTCGGCTAAGCTACAAAATGACAAATCATTACTCATAGCCTAATATTAAATATTAAAGCCAAGGCATAGATTTCCTGTTTTCTCACTATGAATGTTATACAAACAAAACAGTCTATAAGAAAAAAAGCACTGAACTCCAAAGTCAGTCCTAATCCTAGTCTCGCGTCTGCATGCTGACTAGCTGTGTCATGTTATATAAGTAGTTTCCCTTTGGAAAACTTTACTCTGTTAAAAAAAAACAAAAAACAAAAAACACAACTTTGTTAAAAAAAAATGTTATTTACAATATTACTTGCTTTTTCCTTAAGTTTCTTAACCTCTTGGTGCCTGTGTCTTCACCTACAAAGTGACAGTACCTTTATAAGTACTACAGCAATACCTAGACCTCATAGGACTGCTGCAAAAATCCAATGAGATATTCAAGGAGCGCTTTAGCCCAGCGCCCAGCACACAGTGCAAGCTCAGTTGAGGCAGGCTGAGAGTTAATGGGAGTCTCTCTTTGGGAAGACCGAGCCAGTCTTAACGTGGTACGAACCTTAGCAGTTGTCTAATCCAACTACCTCACAGCACAGGAGTCACATTTCTTACTGACTACAAGGAAGTAAGAAAACTCTGGAAGAAAACACTAGTATTTTAACTGTAAGAGTAGCACATTTTTAATGTGTTCATAATTCACTTGAGATTATGCAGGCAGTCAGTCATCGACCAGTGCGTTCTCTAAGTGCCAATGCTATGTGAATATTATTCAGTCGCCAAGGAGGAAAACTGAGCTCCTATCCTATGCAGGTGACCAAGATGAGAAGACTGGGGAGCTGTAAAGAGATTAGCAGGAAGTAGCCTAGGGGCTGGTGCACGATAAAATGCTAAAACTCTAAGTTACAGGCACAAGGAGCTTCAGAGTTAGAATCATCAAACCAACCTTCTCTGATATTGAGGGGAACAATGAGTTAGGTATGAAAGACAAAGAAGATGTGAGGAATGTTGGACATGAGCAAGAAGGGGCAAGGCATTAAAATCCCTATTTTAAAACCCCGTGAATAGTCACACAGAGCACCTCACTAACTGCAGCAGGAGCAGGAAGCCAGCCCTACCCAGTTCGTCTGTGATGAGGTGCTTCCCTTGAATGGAGTTCCGGCACTGGTTGCTGGGCCGACTGCTATTGCCCAAGTTAAACTGCACTTTCCACAGAATGGGCTGATCATGGTCTTGAACCTGGAGAAGATTCCGATCTCTCACTGCCCTCTCCTCCTATAAAGAGACCATAAATGAGAAGGTTAAAGTATCATTTCTTGCATTTTCATCAGTTTTTTCAGAGAAACAACAACAGGACAATTTTAAGAAGCTTGCACAACAGGAACCTGCACTCCCTTGCTATGAGCAACATCTGAGCCAAAGTCAGGAGATCAAATGCAGAAAAATAGGAAGAAATAATAAATTAGGGCTGTCCTCCACAACTGGAGTACTTACATGAATGTCTCTGGATCACGTGCACATTATTAAAGTGTATAAAAGTGTCGATTTTGTAAAAAAATTTGGAGGAAAAAAGTTTTAACATTTTCTTTCTGATGGCAAATCACTTAAAATATATTTTCACATTAAAACAAACATATTGTGGAATAGAACATAAAACAGAAGAAACTTCAAAGAAATTTCACAACTATCCTTTCAAACAATACCCAGACACATCTAGAGCACAAGGTCACTTTCATTTGCAGTTATGAGTATTTCAGTGGTATATTTATGGGAATACTGAATTAGGAGGTTGATTAGGGGCAAGAAGCAGCATGTCAGTTTGTAAATTTCTTCTATGAAAAAATACTGAGTGTATTAATCCTTATGGCACACCTTTATTTACAAAAGACATCCTTGCCAGCCCGCCCTTTACCTAGACATACACAGTGAAGAGCTTCTCTAGAAACAAGAGTTCAAACCTTTTCCACTAGCCTTCAAGCTGTGGCTGAGCTTTCAAAATTGCCTTTCCTATAACACACCATTAAGAAAACTAAGAGGGAGGCACCGGAGTGCCAGAAACAAGCCAAGCACAAGACAGAGAGCCACCTTCTGGATTCTTACTATGATTCCCTCCTGAGGGCTTTTTTTGTACTTTAAACAGTCCACCATCTTAATAGAGTTCTGTGGCTTTTACCATTTAAGAATGTTACTAACCAATGTTACCTCAATTAATTTAATTTAAAAAATAATTAATTTAATCTGTCAAATGTCACTAAGCAAATGGAACTAACTTTGGAAAGGTGATAGCAAAGGTTATATACTTGAAAACAATGGAAAGGATCTTTATAGTTACCATGATTTCTTTAGGAAAGCAATCAAGGAAGAGTTATTAATATTTAAAATATGTCCACATATATTTTGGCCTAGCAAACACATTTTTGAGGCCTATCCTATGGAAAGTACCAATGTATAAAAATGCACCAGGATGTTCACTACAGTACTGCTTATATGGTAGAAAAAACCCCAGAAACCCAACAACAATGAGTGAATAAACACTGGTATAGCTCTGGCTGTTAAAAAACCTGCATATGACTGACATGTATTTATCCAGAGTAGTAATTCTTAAACCTGACTTTCACATTATGGAGGGATCTTAAAACAAATTCTGATTCCTGAGCCCAACTCCAGACTGAGTAAAAATCTCTGTGGATGGGACCTGGAAATCAGTATTTTTAAAAGCAGTGTGATGATATAATATAGAGACAGGGCTACAAACCACTGGAGGTGCACGGTATATTATAAAGTGAAAAAAGCAAGTTGCAAAATAATGTGCACATTATCACACATTATATTCTAATATACTCATACAGATTTGTTAGAGCTGAGATAAAGTTATGGAAAGGTATACTACAGACCATTAACATGAAAGGGACATAAGTGATTATTAACAGCTTTTATCATCTTTGGAATATTTTCATTTTTAATTTAAAAACATGGTTATTATTATCACATCTCAGCCTTTTGGCTAAGAAAGATCAAGTGTAAAAACATGGTTATCGCTAGCAATAGGAGACACTAAGTAAGGGATCTACAAAAACGCTGTACTATCCTTGAAACTTTTCTGTAAATCTGTAATTATTCCAAAATAAGAAGTTTATTTAAAAAAAAAAAACATAATTACCAACCTTACAGACAAAAATTGCCCACAATTTCATCACTTAAATAAAACTGTATCTATTTTTGCAAATTAGCTTCTAGGTTTTGACCCTGGCATTTATATTTAGGAATGAGAATGCTTTGAATTTAGCACTTCTCCACACTAATTAGATGGTAAACCATTCGAGTACCTGCATAATCTTGGGAATCACATTTTTAAGGCTATCTAATAATCCATCATGTTGATGTGTCATAATTTAGTAAACACATCCTCTACAGATCAACATTTAGATCAACATTCCAGACTTTTATCATAGATAGCACTGCAATAAAAATATAGTTTTTAGTTTCTTAAATAATTTGTAATAGTAATTATTATAAATAGTCAATGCCACACGGTGCCAAATACCTTCCCCAAAGTTATATATACCATTTGTAATAGTACCAGCATTTTCATAACAATATTTACAATTCTACCACCACGACCCCAAGACTGGATTTTGTTCTTTAATTTACTGTGTAAAACAATTCTCCAAGGTGGCTTTCGTTTCTGTGCTGCCCCTCCGTTTTGTTTCTTTTAGAGGAAAAAACTGGCATCAGCAGGAATAGGATGGGTTATACAAAAACAACATCTGTATTCCTCCACTGGTGCAAGCAGAGGAGCTAAGTGCAGAAGCCTTGGGAATAGGGGGCAAATCTCTTAGGTGCATACTGCTTAACTACCTGTAAATTCATACTCCTCTGCTCTACTGGGACCTATCAGTTAACTGCATAATCAAGCTATGTGCAAACTAAACTGAGCGTCAAATGCTACCCTAGATAAATTAACAGCCATAAAGACTGTTAAGAGGCTGGTCAAAGTACAGTAAACTGGATCTTACAAGGTTAAAAGTGCTCTTAACATTACTCTCAAACTATCCTGTTATTCTTCCCCGGGAAAAGAAAAAAACAAGAGTTCATGGACAAGTGCATCCCAGAAGGACCTCTTCCACATAACTACATTCCTGGTAAACAGGAAGGCAATTCACCCGGCACTTCAAACTGTTTTCAAACATGAATATTCAAGACCTTGCCAAAAGGATTGGCTAAGAGCTGTCCAATCAAAAAAGATTGTACAAGACACTGTGTAAGACGGCAAGTGTAATGAATGAGTACAAGTTCACTTATGTGAAAGTTCAGTCTTACAAAGGGAGTGGTGAAGGAGCACTGAGAGGTTCCTTTACAGGATGGATGGGTACCCGTAGTCTTAAACCCTTCCCAAACTGTTTCCTCCACCCTACTAGGCTGTCTCAATTTTAAGACCGCCCAGCTTCCCTCCTTCCTTCCTATCATCCATCTATCTATCTATTTTTTTTTTCATTCAAGACTCATTCAAAGGTGTCAAGACCTCACAACGCAGGAAGGAAATAGAGACGGGTGGCCAGGTTCTCTATTCTCAAAAAGCCTCCAGAGCAGTTTCTGATACCAAAAGAGGTATCAGAAATCAGTGCAATCAACCATGACAAATGTCCACAGAAGCTACAATGGGGCACAAAGAAAAATGCAGAAACAAAAAGGAACGCACACACGAGAACTTTCTTCATAAACTGTAAGGAGCTATAGAAATGTTTTTATTACTAACGTATGTTACTTGACCTCTGATTTTATAGGGGGCATATTAATTGTCTTGTCTATTTTTCAGGGGTTATCCTAAGGGTTAAATGAGATAAATGTCCCATGTAAGTACTAAAGTACTTAAACAGAAGGCATTGTCATTAAAGGATTTGCTTATGATTTGCAAAAGAAAAAAAAGAAGATAAAGGCCATGAGGCATCCCAAATGTCTAATGTCTAAGGAATGGCTAAATGTAACCAGATCATGGAAAATTTTAGTTATAAAAAAAACTGTACTAACAAAGCACTTTTAAAGATAATGCATGTATGTTAAATGAAGAAACAGTATGCCACAATTATATTTTAAAAATATGAAAAATGAAGGAAGGAAATATGCCCTAAGTCCATCATGAATCCCTCTAGTGGTAGGACTACAGGCAATTTCCCCCATGCCCAGGGCAGCACTACACAAACTTTCTGAAAAACACACGTACATGGGCGATCAGTGAAAAACAAAAAACAGGTTAGAAATTCTTATGATTTATTCCACTTTAGACAGTATCTAAATTAGCATCAACTTACATAGTTAATTACTTTAAAGCTGAAGACATGAATATATTTTTAAGGAGTTATGCAAACAGCCCTAGATGTTCAGGAACTGTACCACTTGAACAAGTATGAGACCACTTCCGTACATGAAAGGACCTCTAAGGGCCCTTCTAACTCCAAAGCTGACACTTCTGTAATCTCACCTCAGATGCCCACACAGGGCGGAGTCCACCTTGCCACTCTATCACAGTATCTTGTTTGTTTCCTTGTTTACATCACACATCAGTATCTGAAATAACTGCTTTTTTGCCATTTCTGACGTCCCTCCCCACACCCCGCAGAACAGAGGCTCCTGGAGAGGACTGCCCGTCACCGTATCTTCGTCATCCAGCAGACAGTGCCTCGCGCAGTTGGTGCTCACTGGACATTCGTTAAATAAATGCGCCCAAGTCAACTGGCACCACTCGCCATTCCCGATCCTCTCCCCCAATGGCATCCCCGCCATTATCACTAATTTCTCCTGCACTCCCATCTCTACAATTGATCCCCCAGAGCATTAATTAACATGAAAACAAAAAAAAAAGAGAGAGAAAAAGAGGAATTCAAAGCAGTTAATCAACTATTCTCTAGCAAAAAACACCACATCTGCTCCATGAGTTGCTGGTCTCGCTGAAGCAGAGCTCAAGATCAGAAGGAGCTCTGAAGTTTTTCACAGTCTCTTCTCAATTAATCCTACTCCCTCCCCCACCCTCCACCCCCATTCCCTGTCACCATCTACATTTTACAGATGAAGAGCCTGAGGCTGGGCAAAATGAAGCAAACCTGCCTCAGGTCACCTAGCTCAGGAGTTGTGCCACCAAATCCCAGCCGAGAGCAATGCAGGAGCAGCACACTTAAGTGTGTAGGGAAGAACGTCAGCCAAGTTTGGGTCCCCAGGATCCTTTTATACTCTTAAAAATTACTGAGGACCACTAATATGTGGGTTTATAAGGGCTATGGCTGTTGATATTTATTATATTGAAAATTAAATTCTTAAAATACGTGTTTTCAGCACATTATTCACTGAAGAATAACAATGAACCCATATACACGTCAACCATTGTTTTTGTGGGTGTGAAAAAAATATTTTTCAAAACTAAGAAAGAAATTGAGGAAAGAAAACACATTCACATTTCTACCAATTGTTTAAATATCTGGCTTAATGGAAGACAGCTGGATTCTCATCTCTCCCTCTGCATTCAATCTGCTGCAGTATGTTGTTCAGGTTGCAGCACATGAAGAAAATTTACCTTACACAGATGTGTAGTTGGACATGGGAGGAGCATTTTAATGGCTTTTCCAGATTATTAAGTAAACTCTTCTTCAATACTACATCAGAACCTGACAAGCATAGCTTCTTTAAAGTTCACTGCAAATGGTACAACCACTTTAGAGAACCATCTGGCAGTTCCTCAAAAAGTTAAACATAAAATCACCATACGACCTATCACTTCCACTCCTAGGACCAAATCCAAGAGAACTTAAAACCTATTTCCAAACAAAATCTTGTATACCAATGTACAGAGCACCATTATTCATAACAGCCAGAGTCCATCAACCCAAGTGTCCATCAACCAATGAACAGAAAAAATGTGGTAGAAGGTGCATGTGAGAGAACACTACCCGGACATAAAAGTGAAGCGGTAACGTATGCTATGACATGGATGAACTTGAAAACACGGGCTTCTAAGTGAAAGAAGCCAGATACAAGAGACCGTGCATTGTAAGATGTCATTTACAGCAAATGCCCAGGATGGGCAAACCCATAAAGACAGAAAGTTGACTAGTGGTTGTCAGGGGCTGACTGGCAAGGATAGAAAGTTACGGCTCAAGTGTTTCCTATTCTTATTATCTGTTAGGCTGTGGGGGAATCAGACCCAGAGAAATCTGCAAAACAAAAATTTTGCCAACAGTTTTAGGAAAATCACAATCATTGCCCCCCAGCCCAAGAAAAACCAATTATGGTCATAAATCAAAGGTTTTGGAAAAAACACCTTGTAAATTTTAAAAATAAACAAGGTGCACTAAAGTACATAAAGGGAGATTGCAGAGAAGATCACAGTGTAGACACCGTCTGCCTCAAGACATGAAAAACGAGCAGGAATGTGCCAGGCGAAGAAGAAAGGAAAAGCCATCCCAATTAAAAAGACTCACTTGTTTGTTCCAGTACCTGAGTGCCATGAGGTGCCTGGCAGAATTCTAAGGGCTGGGATTCTGTGAACAACACAAGTTTCTGTTCTCAAGAAAATTACACTGTGGAAAGGAGAGTGAGAGGAGACAGATAAACAAGTAAATGCACAGGAAACGTTCAGTGTCTACCCCAAAGAAAATAAAGCAGGTCCAAGGGCCAGGGAAGACATTTCCATGGAGTCGCGGCGCCTGGCCTGAGGCAGTAACAGGCAGCCTGAGCTGAGGGGACAGGGAAGAGTCACCGGGTACTGGGACAGAGTCAGGAGCACGTCTGCAGTCAGAACCCAAAGAATCACACACAGGGCAGGGTTGCCACTGACCGACTGTCACCCCCTGCTGGCAGAGACCCGACGGGGGACAAGAAGGGACCCAGAGACTGCAGGCGGCTGCGGCAGGGGTCCAGGCAGCAGGTGGAGGGAGCCTGACTTAAGGTGGCAGCAGTGACAATTAGGAGAAACGATCAGATTCAGGATTCAGACTCTGGAGGCCGAAGATAACAGAACCTGTGGCTCTCTGGACAGGACCCGGCTGGAGCTACGAACTGGGAGACCACGAGCATTCGGCTGGTGTTTGAACAACATGCGGGAGATCCCCCGCGTCAGGGGGCCAGGAAGGCAGAGTGTGGCACACTCACAGCACCCAGAGGTCCATCAGGCAGAGAAGGGACAGCACCGGACCATGACAAGTTGTCTGCGAGGTGGCAGGAAACACTGACGTTTACATAAATGGCACCCGCACATCTCAGCCAATAAAAGAGCCTTCCAACACCAAGCCTCTGTCTGCCTAAGGTGGGGGCTGGGATACAGTTCCCTCTCTCCCCTTTCCCCGGCTCCCCTGCCAACCCGCCGCAACTGGGGAGACCACAAAATTTACTTATTTTCCATTCACTGGTATATTTTATTTATGAACTTGACCCACGAGAGTGAAAGGCGGTTTTTGATCACTGCATCATCCTGGGGTATGTTCATCCTCTCCAAAAACCCTACCTTCTCAAGCTGGACTCCTAAACTTAACCACCGCTTTGGATAACATTTCCCACCAAAGTAGCCTGTCTTTTCTCCCACAAATTCTCCCATGGAACGAAATCTAGGGCGATGAGGAGGTGAAAAGAACACTCCACCCCAGTTGTGCACAGAAGGGCGCCCTGTGGGTCCTGTGGCGTCTCCCAGGTGGACCACCGAGCCCCCGAATTAAACGAAGGGCAGACACGCGGCTCTGCTATTTCCTGGCCCAGCCAACTCTGCCTCTCCAGTCTCGGCTTCCCGGCTGTCACACGGGGCCACCCCCCCCGCCCCAGGACCGCCGCGAAGATGCATGAGAAACGCACGCCGGCGCGGCAGGTAGAAAGCAGGTAGCGGCAATGAGGGTAATAACCACCAGCGGAAGGGCCCAGAGCCCCGGGTTCGAGTCCCAGCCGCTGGCCCAGCAGCGCCTTTCACCCAGGCACCCACGGAAAAGCAGGTCCCTCCGCCCGTCCTCAGTCCCGGGACACGAATGCCCACCTCCCCCCGAACACAGGGGCAGTGAGGCTGCAGGGGCGGCTCCCTCGCGCGGGGAGGAAGCCGGGCGGCCGGGAGAGCTGCCCGCGGCGCCCGGAGCAAACGCGGAGAGCGACCGGCCACTGACCTGCTTGAAGGTGCTGGTGAGGAAGTAGACGAGCGAGAGACCGAAGACTAGGGCGAGCACCCACCTCTTCCTCAGGAGCCGGCGCCACACCATAGCCGCGAGGTTCACCATGCCGGCGCGGCCGCAATGCGCGGCAGCCGGGGCGCGGAACCGGGGAAGCCCGGGGCCCGGGCGGCATGGCCCCTATACCGCCGGCAGCCCCATCCCTCACGCCGGAGGCCGGCCCCGCGGCCCTCAGCCCAGCCAGCTCTCGACCGCCAGCCTACGCCGCCCCATGTGACCACGCTCTAGGTCCCGCTTCCACCCCCCTTTGCGTCACCAACCGGCCTCACTCGGCCTCGTTGCCATTGGTCCCTGCAGAAAGGCGGCTTTCTATTGGCTGCATCCCGGGAAGGGGGCGGGCAATCATGTGCGTGAGGCCGGAGGAGCTGTGCCGGGATATTAGCGAGGCTCCAGTCAACCCCAGAAAGAATCCGAAGAGAGGCCGGAAGCACTCCAAAGTCACGTGCTCGCCGGGCTGCAAAAGTGATTGGCTTAGAAGGACGTGAATAATGCCGCCGTGATTGCTGAATTGTCTGGGCAGGTAAAAAGAGAACGCGGTTTTTTTCCTCCCGGGATGGTCCGAATAGTCCTCCAGCCCTTGTGTGGTGAACGTGGGCTGCAGGAATGAAAAATGCTCGCGGTATTGTACCCAACGTGCACCTGCCCTCTTCTGATGCAAGTAATGCAGGAACGCTCTCTTGCATGTATTTCGCTGCAGTCAGGTAACGGCCCGAGGACTCAACTTAAAGCACAGCACATATTGAAAAGTCTTGGTGTAATTCTTCATTGGGATATACTAGGATGCATGGAACAGAGCGTTAAACGGCATTTCATTGAGATGCATCCCACGTACAAAAATTTATTCCACAATTCAATATTGGAATACTAACTTACGGCCTGCTTCCAGCAGGTAATTTGGAGCTCCTTCGAAAGCAAACATCTGACAGTAGAATCTTGGGCATTGCATTTAGGAGGCTGGGTCAGCTCTATGGGTGGAAGCTTTGGGTTACTATGTTTTATTTTCTACAGGGGTCTGCAGGTGATGGGTTATCTGGGGAGGTGCGCATTAAGCTGACATTGCAATTTCTGAGCGTTAGGAAATATTTACATAATGAGCCCTCCTTCATATATGAAGATGGTGCTACTGACCCATTTCTAACCTGATTTTCCAAAAGAGAAACGAGGCTTACCTAGTGAGTTTTCTCTTTAATCAGTAGCCCCAGTAATATCAATGCTGACCCCTGAAAAAGACTGGTCAGGATTAGGAAGTCATTCATAACAGCCAGTTATGGTGCCCTGAACTAAAATAGTCAGATAGCATATTTGGTTATACAAAAAATGTTCAAGGAGTCTAAACCTATTCATGGGAAATCTACAACCTTTTTTTCTCCTCTTGGGTGAAAGGGCTGAGAGGGTGCAAGGGTTGTAGGAAAAGGTAATGGAGAGACCCACAGATGTTTTACTCATTGAATAAATACTTGTTGAGGGCTACTCTGTGCCAGGCAGTGTTCTAGATGGTGAGGTAGAGGGGCAAACCAGGCAGACGGGCTCCCTGCTTTTATGGCATTTACCTTCTCACGGGGGACCCATCAAATGTAAATAAGCAAATACCTAAATAAATAAGTGCTATAAAGAAGGTTAAACAGGGCAATGTTATGGTGGGTCAGGAGAGTGAGAAGAGAAGGCCTCTAGGAGGAGGTGACATTTGACCTGAAGGAACTAGCCACAAGCAAAAGCATCCCAGGGAGAAGGAACAGCAAGTTCCAAGGGCCTGAGGCAGGGACAGCTGGCATGTTTGAGGAACAGAAAGACAGCTGTGGCTGGAGGGGAGCAGTTAAAGGGAGTGTGGAGGGAAATGAGGTTGGAAACAGGCGAGGTACGTCAGATAGAACCTGCAGGCCATGAACTTTTTACTAATTGAGTAAATGAATGAAAAGGCCATGATATTGGACTTTATTCTGGTTACAATGGAAAGCCACTGGGGGCTCTAAAGCATAGTTTCTGTGTTCCCCAATAAGGACTCAGTTTGACAATAGGATAAAGTACACCGAGATCGTGATCATTGTCAGGAGTCCTTGGGAGGAATCAGTGAGAGGCTAACCAGAGCTTTGGAGGAGATGGAGCCCATGATGCCCCAAGACTTATTCTGAGGTTCCAGGTATCCATGGACTGTTCATGTGAGTGTTCTGTTCCATCCAGGATTTGGAGTCTGTCATAAGCTCTCCTGACCCATTCATCCATCTGGAGAGGAAGAGGAAGGGGAAGTCTGCTTTCTCTGGAATCCAGTGGTCACATCCCCATCAGAACCCCTGAATGGCCACCTCAGGTGTCGTCAGCATGGAGTTCTGAGGTCCATGTGGCTCCTCATAGTGAACAAGGTGGCGTGTCTCCATGAGAAGTCATATCTTCATCACCTCTGTATTCAATGTGAGCACGGGAAAGAAGCTTCAGGTTCAGCCCCTCCACCCCCTCCCATTTAACAGATGAGGAATCTGGGGCCACAGAGAGGGTGCTGATCTGCCCAAAGTCACACAGCAAGTTAGGGGCAGCATCAGTCCAGAACCCGTGTCTCCTGCTGCCAGTCCGCTGCTCACTTCACCTTATCCATCACCTCTTTGCTACACAGTTCGCTGCTTTCATCTCTCCTGTGAGGATTTCTTCCACGTCTGGGTCTCAACATCTTCATCTGTGAAATGGGATGATAACACGTTCCTCAATAGGATTGAATATTGAGTGGCATAGCAGGTAGAAACGAGGTTTGGAAAATGTCAGAGAGCTCTAGGGATATGAGATACAAGTAGCCCTTATTTACGGTTACCATGGCAATCTGAGAAGGCAGTGGGAATGTTGGGAGACTCTGGCTTATGCCATGTGTTGGCTTTCAGGTCTTAAGGAAAATGCAGAGACGCCACAGCAGTAACACGGATAACGTTCCACCTGAAAGGTAGGCACCTCTTTGTTTCCTTCCGTCGGGGGGCTCTGGGCTTCGAGTGTTCAGAGGAAGCCAAAAGCTGGATTGAATAATGCCTGCTTCTCAGCGTTATGTGTTCGAGGAGCAGAGGAGATCCGATTGGAAACTGCTTTGCACAGTAATGGCATATACTACTCAATACGTAACAGCTGGCTATTGCTCTTATGATAATTCTTAAAGTCTGTGTGAGAGGCGATGCACTTGACTTGTGTCAATGATTGTACCCCTGAGATTTTAATTTATGGAGGAGACTGAGCGACAACATGGAGAGGTGAATGCCATCGAAAGAACTTTATTACTTACATTTCCCCAGAGCAAGGGGCACTTCATACCATGGAGGGCCTCATGGGGAAGCACCAGGGTCAGTCAGGAGGTAGAAAGGAGCAAAGGGAAAGCATAGGCCACTGTTTTTATTGTGTTTTCTGCACAAATCAAGGCAGGGCAGGGGAAACAAAGTACATTGTCTATTTTGCGTAATGTCAGCAGGCGCTGGACTCTAAGGGTGTCTCTGGTTGTTTCCTGCCTGGTTCTGCGTGACTCAGGGCAGGAGAAATACTGGCTGGATGTGTGAGCATTAGATCAAGGAGGTGGCTGGGGATATGATGGGGCTCTGGATTGTAGGGAAGCCCTAAACAACTTTGGCTATTAGTTTGACCCTGTAATTAGTGTATGCCAAATAGACAAACACAGAATATAAGAAAACACAGTTAAAACATTCGTGAGCTAGAATTTCTCTAGTTAAGCCCAAGAGAGAACACACCGTGGGACCTGTTCTCAGGTTGTGACAGTCTCCCAGCCCCACACCTCCCACCGTGCTGACACATACATCCCAGGAGCAGGCAGCCAAGCTTTTCCTCCCTCATATCCCATCCCAGTCGCCTTATAACTCTGAGACTAGTTGCAAAATCAGAGTGCCCACCAGTTCCAGCACTGGGACTGAGTTTTGCATCAGGCCTGCCTATTCTGTGGGGAAGAGCTCTGGCCTTCAATCAGACGACCCTTGGCCAAATCCCAGCTCAGCCACGTCTCACCTATGATGCCTTTGAAAAGTGTTCACCCCTAGGGCTCCATGTCTCCACCCATAAATGGCCGATAATGAAACTCAGTTTGCTTAGGAAGGAGTGAATGAATATGAAAATGCACAAACACAGCATCCAAATAATAACCATGCCTATTGGAGCCTCTGAAGACAGAATGCTGCCTGCTCTCTAGTGAACCACGAGATCTTTGGGAGCAGAAAAAGAATGGCCACTGTACGTTGCATACTTCCGTGCCACTGATGGCGGGGGGCTATTTTCATCACCATTTTTACAGATGAGGAAACCGAGGTTCAGAGCGCGGAAGTAAATCACCTAAAATCACACAGCCAGGAAGTGGCAGGACTGAGATCTGGGCCCCCGTCCATTTGCCTCCCCTGCCGCCAGCACATTCTGCCCTCCTATCTGAGCAGATCCACTCCTCCCCCGGGCTGCCTCCCACTCTAGCCTTTAAGTGGTTAAGTTAGAAGCACAGCCTCTGCCTCCCCAAGGAATATTCTTTCCCATTTAGGCTGAAATCTCGGCTGGATGCTGGGGCCCAGGGAAGGGAGGCCAGCTATAAAAAGCCCCTTGGTGGGTTGAGCCTTCCCTGGCTGTACTGGAGGTCCCCCGAGCCCAGTGAGCTGAGAGTGCTGGCGAGCTTTCAGGCGGCCAGGAAAACTTTCCAGGTCCTTGAGGGGCGGTGGGGGAGAAACGGTAGCCCCCATGTGGGCCAACATGGGCACCTGCCAGGACTCCTACTTTCTGAGCTCAGCTTCTTGAAGTGCAGAAAAAGCTCACGGCCCCTTGAGGATCATAGCCATGGTGTCCGTTGTTGTTGTCACTGTTAAGATTGTCTTTATTATTATGCCAAACCCAAGGGAATAGGACCACACGTTTCCCGGGGCTTTGGAGGCGGCAGGGATGGGCCAGGTGGTAGAGGAATAGGTAGCCATCTTCAAGTTCCCTCCCTTGCAGCAGGTTTGCGGTCACATACCCCCAGGTCAAGTTTGTGAAGCCAGAGCAACTGACCCTGAGATTTCTCCAGACCCGCATTTCCCCTGCTGGGTTTCATGGGTGTTCTACAAGACATTAATAGGATTTCCACAGAAAAAAACTCCATGCTGAAATAAGTTTGGGGAATACTGGGTTTCAGCAAAATGGAATTTTTCAATTGCAGACCTTCTCCAAGCCTTTAGTATCCTCATTCATTCATTCTTTCAAACACTATTTCTTGAGCATGTTCTGTGTACATACCAGGTACGTTGTGCTGGGAAAGAAAGAGAGAAAATGGGGGCAAACAATCATGATCTTTGACTTCATGGCACAGGGCTCAGTTTAAAGTGTTATTCTCAGTACTTACTACCCATTAGAGTCACCAGGGGGCTCTGAAGACATAGAGATGCCAGGCCCCACCCCCAAAGACTTTGGTTCAATTGGTCAACACTGGGTCCCGGGCACCTGTGTTTTCCAGCAGCCCCTGAGTGATTATCACGTGCAGCTGGGGTTAAGAACCACAGGCGAGCAATAAATGGTGACTTGCGGTCAATCCCATGCAGCTGAGGTTAGGATGCAACGAGAACTAGGAGTCAGGAGGCTCTCGCTGTCGGCGGGGGGAGGGCAGGCTCCACCAAGGCACAGAGATTTCAGCCGAGATCTGATGGATGAGCCTAGGTACTGAGGTGGGACAGGGTGAGGGTGACATCCGGTGAAGGGGACCGCCTGCACAGAGGCCCTGCAGGAGGAAGCAGGGGTAGTGAGGGGGCACACAGTGAGACTGGAGTTTGGGGGTAGATAATCCAGGGCGTATGGCAAGTTTGTCGCTCTGAGCCGCAGTTTCTTCAGCTGTAAGATGGGGATGCTGTCACTCCCAACCTATAGGGTTTCTCTCAGACCTCGGGAGGGAGTTTACAATGGGATAGCAGCTGGGGGCCTTCAACAGCAGAAGTTTACTTTCTCACAGCCCTGGAGGCTGGAAGTCCGAGATCCAGGAGATCGTGGCAGCAGCAGGTTGGTTTCTTCTGAGGCCTGTCCCCTTGGCTTGTAGATGGCTGCCCCCCTCCCTGTGTCCTCACATCCTTTTCCCTCTGTGTGCCAGTTTCCGAATTGCCTCCTCTTAAAGGGACACCAGTCCGATTGGATTAGGGCCCGCCTTCGTGACCTCATTTTCACTTAGTCACCTCCGCAAAGACTGGGCCTCCAAGTCGGTCACACTCTGAGGTCCCGGGGGTTAGGGCTTCAACATGGGAGTTTGTGGGGAGACACGGTTCAGCTTACATAATGTTACTGATACTGTCATTTGTCCCCCAGTCTCCACTGGGTGACTGTCTTTCTATCTGCCTGACCTGGTGGGGCCTTCTCTTCCTTTCTGGCCCAGAAATCGCAGCCAAGCACTCAGCTCCGAGGCAAGCGTGGATGAAGGGGGCGTCTTTGAGAGTCTGAAGGCAGAAGCGGCCTCCCCACCAGCGCTGTTCTCTGGCCTCTCAGGCATCCCGACCGGCAGCCTCCCCGCCGCCCCATTCCCGTCCAGCCTGGTGCTGGGGGCCTCTGCCGGTGGAGGGGACGTGTTCATCCAGATGCCAGCGTCCAGGGAGGAAGGCGGAGGCCGGGGCGAGGGGGGCCCCTACCACCACCGCCAGCCCCACCACCACTTCCACCACGGCGGCCACCGTGGGAGCTCGCTGCTGCAGCACGTGGGTGGGGACCACCGGGCGCACTCGGATGAGGGGGGCGACGAGCAGCCGGGCACTCCCGCCCCCGCGCTGTCCGAGCTGAAGGCTGTGGTCTGCTGGCTCCAGAAAGGGCTGCCCTTCATCCTCATCCTCCTGGCCAAACTGTGCTTCCAGCACAAGCTCGGTGAGTCCCGGGGACGCGGGGACTTCAACTGCTGGATACGGGGCACTCCGTCCCAAATGCCAGGGAAAGGCAGCAGAGGCCCCCGCCATGCAGAGTGCTTACGAGTTTGGGGTTCTGGCCCTGGCCGGTGCGGTTCGGTTGGAGCATCGTCCATAAACCAAAGGGTCATGGGTTCAATTCCCAGTCAAAACACCTGCCTGGGTTGCAGGTTCAGTCCCCTTTTGGGAGTGTGGGGTGGTGGGATGGCTGATCAATGTTTCGTTCTCACATCAACATTTCAGCTCCCTCTAAAGTCAGCAAGGTGTCCTCAGGTGAGGATTTAAAAAAAAAAAAAGGGATTCTGAGTCAGACCTGGGTTCAAATCCCGACAGGTTAGCTATGTGACTTCAGGCAAGTCACTTACCTACTCTGAGCCTCAGTTTCCTTGTCTGTCCTGTGCAGGTTGTGATAGAAGCTTCCTCAGCTGGTTGGTTGGTGTGAAGGAGCAGAGTGTAGCACCTAAGAGTTCAGACTACTTGGGTCTGAACTCAGGCCCTGCCCTTTCCTAGCTGTGCGACGCTGGATAAGATATTTAACCTCTCCATACCTCATCCACAAAATGAGGATTATTGTAAGACATGCTTCATGAGATTGCAGTGAGGTGAAATGAGTTAATACGTGCAAAGCACTTAGGACAATGTTGTGCAACTATAGGTGATTATTTTCATTATATTCATTATTAATGTGCATAAAATACGTAGCATAGATCCTGGCACAGAGCAAGTGCTCCATAAATGCTGCGTATTGTTAGTATTATTAGGAAGCCAGATAATGATTCCTAAAGCGATTAGCCTAGAACCTGACACGCACTGAACATTCAGTGAGTGGTCTCTGGACCACTTCGTATTCTTGCTGTTAGCAGGTCGTGGTGTTGCCGCGCACTGGAGAGGTCGGGGCTGTTGTTTCAGGCCTTCAGGAGATGTGGTGGTACAAATGATTTCATGGCCTGCTACATCTCGCAGATAGTGTCTAGAGGAGGGCGGTCCATTCTTTGTGTCTTCCTTGCCCCTTTCTGGTGTGTTCTAGCAGATCACACCTCACCCTTGCCTTTGGGGTGTGACAGCAGCAGCCGCTCCCTTTCCAGTCCTAAAAATGGAAGTCTGTGTGTTCCCCTTTTTATATGGAATTCCAGCAAACTCACAACTTAAATTTTATCTGCAAGTATGGACATTTTTTTTTTCAGTTGGCAGGTTGGTGTATTTGTTTTGTAATCCAAGAGGAAGAAAGAAGAAAGAGTGGCAGGGTTACTAGTTTTTATTTTATATTCGCAATGAAAAATTTGTCTTTGACAAAGTAGATCCAGAAAAATACCTGGAGCGCATGTGCTATTAAAAAAGTAAACGCAAACTCCTAAGCAAGAGAAGCTGAGTGCATCCTGTGAAAGCAGAATTCTACAGGTTATGAAAAATAGGATTTGCAAATCCTTATTCAGGGAGAATCCCAAGGTTGTCGTGTGGCAAAGAGTGGCAACTGAAGGAATTGGAATAAAAGTCAGTTCTAGTCCCCCATCTGCCAGGTCATGTTTTTCTGTCAGCAGGAATTTTTTTCCCCTTTAACATCAAATCTTTACTCTTTATGGTGTCACGGCCTTTTTCTGTGTATGCTTTTATTACAAAGAGCGCACCTCAGATTCTTTCTGAAAGTAGAAATAGTAATAGGTACGATTTACTAGCTGCTAGAGATGGTGTTCTGTAAACATCCTCCAGGAGGGAAGAACTATTGTTATTCTGTCCAGTACTATAGTCAAGGAAAGTGGGGCTCAGAGAGGTGCAGTGGTTGGCCTAAGCTCACCCAGAGAGGAGGTGGCAGAGCCAGGATTTGAACCCAGGTCTTACTAGACTGCACAGCACAAGCTCCTAACCTGGTTCAATGCAACACTGTAGAGTGGCCTCAAACCCATCCCTACGTCAGGGGCCTATGCTCAGAGTGGCTCCGGGGTCCCAGTGATTTACAAGGCAGCCCACATCCCCCAGAAGTGAGATTTTTCTCTCCCGTCTGAGGTTAGTCTGTCAGCACCGAGAGGACCAGGGATGAGTCTGTTGAATGTGCTCACCGTCCCTAGTGAGTCTAAGTGGCCGTGTCGGGCCCTCCTCTGTCCCGCAGGCATTGCCGTGTGCATCGGGATGGCCACCACCTTCGCCTACGCCAACTCCGCACTCCGGGAACAGGTCTCTCTGAAGGTGAGTCACCTGGTACATTAGCTTCCTGTGGCGGCTGTCAACAAATGACCACAAACTGAGTGCCTTAAAACAACATCAGTGGATTATTTTACAGCTCTGTCAATCAGAAGTCTGAAGCAAGTTTCTCTCCACTAAGATCCAGGTGTCCACAGCCCTTGTGGTCCTATGGGAGGGTTTAGAGGAGAATCTGTTTCCTTGTCTTTCCCAGGTTCTGGAGGTCACCCGCATTCTCTGGCTCCTGGCACCTTCCTCCTCTTTCAGCCAGCACCCCTGCATCTCTGTGACCATCTTCCCGTCATCACCCCCCCACCCCCCGACTGTCCCCTTCTGTCTCCCTCTTCCACTTTTAGGGTCCCCTGTGATGACATTGGGTCCGCCTGAATAACCCAGGCTCTCCCCATCTCAAGATGAGCTGATTTGCAACCACAGTTCCACCTGCAGCCTTAATTCCCCTTTGCCACACGATCTAACATACTCACAGGTTGCAGGGATTGGGATGGGGACATCTTTGGGAGACCATTCTCCTGCTACCACCCTCAGGCAGATCCTTTGATGTGCCCTCCTTCTTCCAAGCCCTTCTTCCTGCAGGGTCCCCCCGGCCCAGTGCCTTTACCCTCCTGGTATCCAACCAGCTCGCTCACTTCCACCCATCCTCACGGTTAAAGCCATCCCACTGGCACTGCTGGGTGGCCGTACAGCTTCGCCACCTCCTGAATGCCCGGCACTCAGGAAGAACTCAGAGACATTAAATTCTTTGCCTGAGGTTACATAGCCAGTGCAAGTGGTGGCACCAAGATATGAACCCAGGCATTGACCCACGGGCTGTGCTCACCCCAGGTTTAATTTCCTGCTTCGCCTACCTACAAGCTCTTAGGTAACCTCAGCCTCAGTTGCCACCTCTGGAAAAGGAACTAGTCACACCAACTTCTTACACTGTTAGAGAGAATTAAATGAGATAGCGCAGAGAAGATGTTTAGCACAGTGCCTGGCATATAGGTAACATTTAAGTGAGCTATTTTTAACAAGCCTACACTTGTACTGTGCACGTGACACCATAACAGCCACCATCCTCTCTGATCCTTCTTTGGGGCCATCTGCTTTCTCAAAAGCACCTGGACCTCCATGAGGCATGGAGCGAGAGGTTTTTCTGGATCTTTAGTGTCATCTTCACGCAAACACTTTTCTGCTGCTTTTAGAACAGCAGGCTGATCGACACCATAATGGGAAGCTTTGGGAGCTGCCTGTCTCTCAACTACAGTAACATCCAAATGGTGCCTTGACTTGAACTTTAGGGTGTAAGAGGATACCTGTATCCGTGGACAGGCTTCTAGGGGTCCGTGAAACTTCGGAAGTAAAGACGCACGCGATGCTTTGCCTGTCTGCACGTATTTTCTGTAAAAGAGAGTCTCCATGATCTTTAGTAAGTTTAGGAATCTCAACTGACTACGAAAGAACTACTCCCTTTGTCCTTCAGAGTCTGGCTTCTTGGGGCAATGCTAATTCCCTTTTTCTCTTCCGCCTTTGGTTTGGATTTGCAGAGGACTCCACTGGAATCCATTATTTATTGGGTAAAAAGGGCTGCGAAGTGGATTAATCACATTGATAAGAGCAGTTGGTTGGTTGGAGGTGGTTTCTAGGGTCGTTAACCTTGACCGCTCTTGGAATAATGGGTGGATGGAGATGCATTTATTTTGTCTCCTCTGGAAATGTGCATCGTAAGGGTGCGTGGGGCGCTGAGCTGTGTCTGGAGACAGTGGAGCATTTACTGAAACCGCAGGGAAGGTTACACTGGGAAAGATATGACCTCATCCTATTCCAGCAAGGCAGCCGCCCTGGTCCAGGAAGAGACGGGCTTTTGAAAATCAGCAGGACGGGGGTCTACGTATGTCTCCCAGGGTACACGGCGGGGACACGCCAGCCCGGCGCCTCCTCCAGAAATTTCCTGGGATTGCTCTCAGGCTAAGAAGCTTATGGGAAGCAGCAAAGCGAAGCTTGTCTTCCTGGGGACTAAACAGAAACGAGGCTGGAGAAAGGGAAGTGGGGCCAGGGCTTTGATGGGCAAGTGAACGAGTTTGAATTTAATCCTTTAAATATAGTGGCCCCACATTGAACGGTGGGTCCGGGGCAGCAGCCCCAAGGCCCGTGCTAGCAGGAGTGGGAACAGGGATTTCCAGTTTGTAGTTGTGAATTGTCTACTGGGTGGTAAAGTCGGAATACTAGAGTAGGTCCAACCATTTAGCAAGCCTGAAATGTGAGCCCGTAGCAGACCGAATGTTGGCATTTATGAATTTTATTAAATTCTTAAGTGAAACCCCCACTTTAAATGAAGGCACTGAGGCTTTAAACATGCGCCTTTGGGCAAGAGTTATGAACCTCTCTGTGCCTCAGTTCCTAACAATAAACGTGAACTAACATTTCCTACATGTCAGGTACTGTTGTGTTTATGGACATTCATTCTCACAACTCTGTAAGAGAAATGCAATATAGACACAGTTTACCGGTGAGGAAAAGAAAATGAAAAGTTTAAGTAACTTGTCCAGGGTTGGATAGTCCCCAAGGTAGCAGACCAAGGATTTGAACTTGGGTTTCCAGCTCCAAAATCTGTGCTGCTAACCGCCTGGCTCTCCTACCTTTCCATGTAATTCTCCAAGGAGGTTCCCACTTTTCTGTCACCTTTTCTGTGTCCATCCCTTGAGCTCCAGAAGGAAGAACAAATGCCGGTGCCCTTCCTTTCACCATTAGCCCTGCTTCCTCCAAACCATGGAAAGAGGGAGACATTGTCACTTGTCAGAAAACATTCTAGAATGCTCTGCCATGTGCACCTGTGGCATGGCAACATCCCCACACATCTCTTGCTTTGTCTGCAGGAGAAGAGGTCGGTGCTGGTCATCTTGTGGATCTTGGCCTTTCTAGCGGGAAACACCCTATACGTGCTCTATACGTTCAATTCGCAGCAGCTATACAACAGGTGAGCAGGGGAGCCTGACCCCCAGTGGGAAAGTGGGGGGCTTAGAACACACAACCCTTCACTGGAGAGCGATGCACCAACTCTGTGTGATGTTGTAACCTTCAGATTCCACTCTTATGCCATAAACACTCATGCCTAGAGCAGAGCTCACTAGTAGAAACACACCAGCCCCCTGTGTGATTTTCTGGTGGCCACGTAATGGCTGGGAGCAAGGGCTGGCCAGAGAGGCCTCCGGGATGAGGCGGAAACTCGAGCCAAGCTTTCGGATTGTGTGCCTCTCTTCTGAAAATGGGCTGTGAGGAGTGAGCCATTGCACCACGTTCTGGGGCCGCCCCACACAGTTAGGGGAGTAAGCGCCAGGGCGCCAGCTCATGTCCCACACACGGGGTTCGTCATCTGGCCCGAAATTTCAAGATCCTGGCGGAGGCGCTCCAAGATAGTTTCCCGGAACCTCGGGTGAATTTCCAGCTTGTGTCATTCTGTGGGCATGGTCACAGGCACCGGCCCAGCCCGCGGAGCCCGCACAGAGCAGGGCTGAGTCAGACCTGCAGCACAGAAAGGGGGGGAGAGACACAGAAGGGCTGTGCAGAAGAGCAGCGGAGCTGAGTCCGCGTCCCCATGGATGTCGGTGGGCCACAGATACCAACAGCTGCTGTGTCGTCTTGTCCTCCGAGCCGTGTACTGCTGTCCCCATTTCACAGATGAGGAAGCTGAGGCTAACTTAGCGCCAGTAAGTAGCCCTTAACAGCGAGCTTGACTCTTCCCAGGATTTGGAGTCTGATGACCAACGTCAGAAAGTCTTACTCCCAACACTTCCCAGCTTTGTGCCTTGTGGCAAATAACGGAACCTCTCTGAGACGCCCTGAGTTTCCTCACTCGTGAAACAAGGACCCAGTTAACCCTTGCCTTACCCACCTGAACGGGCTAATTATTAGTGAGGCCAAATGTGATAATACGTGAAAAGTCCTGGGTGAGCCATGAAACGTTTGATAGAATCCTAGTCGTACCATAATTAATATTATTCTTTTATGATGAATTACTATACCTATGGGTGGTGGTGCCTATGAAGGAGCAAAACTGACAATAAAATAGATCATTTATTGAAGTTCACAGCGTATGTTATCAATAAATGGGCTTAGTGATTAACCTGTGGAAAAACACTTCCGTACCTCCTCCAAACACCAAAAGGGAAGAAACACTAACACCGTGCAAAACAGAAAAAATACCAACACGGTGAACCAAAACCCACATCAGCGAGTTTAACACCAACTAGTGTCTCTGAGATAAAATTGAAAGCGGAAGGCGCATCTTCCTTTTATTGTGGTCACAGAAGCATAAGGGCATGGAAGTCAACCAACCAACGAACCTGAGGTGTCCCCAACCAACCAGCCCGAGAGCAGAGAGCAGAGGCGGAGAAGGGAGCCGGGGGCTGCCAACCTCTTCTTGCATTAAAACATGAATGGCCACTCAAACTCGGATGTGAAGAATCCCACCAAGACCAGACTAGGGTGTGGGAAGACCCTGAAGGCATTGTGAGAGATTGCCCAAATAGAGTGTTTTCATTGATTTTGCCCTGTGCTAGCTCTTTAAAGGTTTTTATCTTAAGTAGAAATAGTTTTTTAAAAATAAAAGTGACAAAACAGACCAGTTCATTGCTAGAATACTATAATAAAGAGACCTCAGTTTTGCACCTCTTTCGACCAGCCCAGCAGAGTATAGCAGTCCCCTCTTATCTGGGGGCGGGGGCGGGGGGAATGTGTTCCAAGACCCCCCAGTAGATGCCTGAAACTCCAGGACCGCAGGATAGCACCAAATCTTATATACACTGTTTTCTCCACATGTACGTACCTGTGACTTAAGTTTACAGCTTCTCTTTGGCCTGTCTGAATTAGCAGCATCACTGTTCTGGCACTTTGGGACCATTATAAAGGAAAATGAGGGTTGCGTGAACTGCACTATCCCGACAATCGATCTTCTCACCAAGACATCTAAGTGACTGAGGACGGGCAGGTAGCATCTGCAGTGTGGAAATGCCGGACAAGGGGTGATTCACTTCCCAGGTGGGACAGAGAGGGGCGGCATAAGATTTCATCATGCTACTCACAGCGGAATGCAATTTAAAACTTATGAATTGTTTATTTCTGGAATTTTCCAGTGGTTAACCACTGATAACCAAAATGCAGAAAGCGAAATGGCAGATGGCGGGGACTGCTGTATGAAGCTTTGAGAAAGCATCCACCGTGGGCTGTGTGCGCTGCTCCCTGCTCTCGGGCGGTACAGCTCAGACTTGGTCTGCCCTTTGCTCGGAGCCCCTAATCTGGTGGGAAGCAAAGTGAGGGGTCCGGCACAGACTGGGCGCCGGTTCCAATCCTCGCTCCAAGTTCTACCAAAGATGCTTCGGTCAGGCAATGCCACTCTTAGCGGCCCAGTTTCCCCAGCACAGAATGGGGTTATCTTAGCACCTACTTCATAGAGCCTTTGGGAAAATGAAATGAGTTAAGACACGTCAGATGTGCAGTTTACGCATCCTCAGAGGTGGTGGAGGGCAGTGCCACTCAAAGTGTGGTCCGTGGGCAGGTGTCAGTTTGACAGTTTGTCATCTGCCTCCAATGGGGTAAGTACAGAATTTGAGCATGAAGTTAACTTACCTGCACACAGACGGGCAAGTTGGGTTTACACACTCCCGAGTAGCACTGCTATAGTAAGAACTGAGAGCATTAGCTGCCGCCAGGGTGCCTGGGTTTCAATCTGCCTCTATCCCTTCATAGTTGCGGGACCTTGTGCATATTACTTTATCTTCCTGTGCCTCAGTTTTCTCATCTGCAAAATGGAGGGGATCATAGTGCCTGCCTCATAGAGCTGCTGTTATTACCGTCATCACAGCCATGGGCAAGATCTGTGGTACATCCATTGTCTCATTGGATCCCCCCAGTGATACTATGAGCGAACGTCTGATTCCTATTTTATTGTTGAGAACGCTGAAGTTTGTGGAGATAACATTATTTGCCCAGGGTCCCATAGATGAAGAAGCCTGGATTCAAAATCAAGTCTGCCTGATACAAATGCCCATTAACATGTATTGTGGCCTTGGGCAGCTTGCTTCTCCCAGCTTCAGAGCCTTGTTTACAAGGTGGGGATGAGCAACTCTCACTGCGCAGGACAATGAGATACAGTGAGTGAAGAGCTTAGCATGGTCCCTGGCACATAGTTTTCCTCTTCCCTCCTTCTCTTCCTCCCACCTTCATAATGTTGACCTTCCTTCCTTTCTTCTGCCTCCTCTTATGAAGCCTATTATGGACCCATAAAACTGGAAGGGACCTTAACTGATAGTCCAGGCCAATCTCATCTTTTAACCCTCAAAGGAACTAAGGTTCAGAGAGGTTAGGATACCCCCCTGAGGCCACACAGCAAGTTATTAGCAGATTCAGGAACAGGACACAGAAGTGTGACTCCCCGTTCAGTGCTCTTTCTACAGGTCATACTGAAAAGGCTCCCAGAGTGAGTAGAAAGAGCTGCTGAGGGCCAGTGATCAAAAGTGAGAGTCCTGACTCAGAATCCCTCCCCACAGCCTGATATTTCTAAAGCCCAACCTGGAGACCCTGGACTTCTTTGACCTGCTGTGGATCGTGGGGATCGCAGACTTTGTACTGAAGTACATCACTATCGCCCTCAAGTGCCTCATCGTGGCCCTGCCCAAGATCATCCTGGCTGTCAAGTCCAAGGTAGGCACTGGCTGCAGCCACCAGCCAGCCCCAATCACACATACGGGGGATTCAGAGCACGTGCAGGAGGAGGACAGAAAGGGCGTGAGCAGAGCCGATGTGATCGTCTGGAATGAACAGAGCCTGAGCTAGTAGATCCTGTCACTCACTTCTTACAAGTCCCTGAAGCTGAGCATGGTTCTTTGCTGTCAGCACCTGCCTGTGACACCTCTACTCCAAGTGCATTTTGTCTAAGCTTTATTGTTCAGAGCTGCCTTGGATGCAATTTTCACCTGAATTTCACCTGAGAAATGGAAAAAGCCATGTCGACATGCCCTGGTTCTGTTTATCTCAGGGAAGGATGGCTCTTACAGGTTTTGATGTTTTGTGGCTTTGGGAGCATGTTTTGTAAAGAGAACCAAGGCTCAGAAGGAGAGAGCTCTGTGGTTGATTAGTGATGTCTGCTGTGGACATAGGATGGGAAGTGGTGGCGATGATATCTTGCAGCGTACTGTAGGGGAAGGCCTGTGGGCACGTGTCAGGTTGAAGGGGTCTTGTCCGGGGATAACCACTGTAGTTCAGAGGACCGACAGGGCTAGGACAAAACGTCCCCTTTAGGGTAATTCTTGCCAGGGCTTCTGCAGCAAGACCCAAAGCAGGGAGTCTGGGCAGAGGCAGGTGGACTAAACCTCTGAAGACTCCTGCTTTTCACACTGTGAAGACAGCCATCTTTTCAACTTCAGAAAGCTTAGAGTTTGGTTGGTGAAGAGCAGGTTTGGAATTGGCTGTCCATCCCATCGGCCAGGTGTGTAGGAAAACCCCCTCCTGTGTTTTTCTCCTTTATTCCCACTCAATGCTTCTGAGACCCAGCAATTCTGCAGCGCGGTGCTGACCCTGTCTATATGGAGCTGGCATTAAATCCCAGAAGCCAAGGGCTTGGTCCTGCAAGACTGCCCCTCCCCACTTCAGACACCAGTCACAAGTCCAGGTTCTCGCCTGTGCTTCTAACCTACCAGTTGTAATCAGGATTCCTGTGACTCCTTCTTTGGGTTCAGTCATTTGCTGGAACAGCTCACAGAACCCAGGGAAACATATTTATCAGTTTATTAATTATTATTTTATATTTATTAAACATATAATAGAAAATATTTTTATTTTGTATTCAATGTATTTTTATTATAGACTTCACATTATACCTATACTTAACATATATACTTCACATTAACGGCTTAAAGCGACATAAATTTGTTATCTTAAAGTTCTGGAGGTCAGAATTCCAAAATGAGTTTCATTAAGTTAAAGTCAAGATGGTGGCAGGGCTACATTCCCCTCTCCATCTCCGTATAACAATACCTCATATATTCTATTAGAGGTTTATTAAATGTGTGGTCATTATTATTAATAAAGGATATGATAAAGAACACAGACATAGCCAGATGAAGAGTTACAGAGGACGAGGTCTGGGAGCGTTCTGAGCACGGTGTCCCCACGGAGTTGGGGTGCACCCCCCCTCAGTATGTAGATATGTGTTCACCAGCCCAGAATCTCTAAACCCCATACTCTCGGTAATTTATGGGGGCTCCCTCGTAGGCATGATCGATTATTAACTCCATTTGCAGCCCTCCCCCCTCTCTGATGCAAGGGAGGCGTGGCTGAAAGTCCCAAGCTTCTGATTATGGCTTGGTCTTTCTGGTCACTAGCCCCACCCAGGAGTCTATTAAGAGTCACCTCATTAGAACAAGAGAGGTTCCAAGAAATTCCAAAGAATTTGGGAGTTCAGCCTGAGCTGCTCCCATCACACAGGTCTGAGGAGCTCCGTATCAGGAACTGGGATCAAAGACTAAATGGGAGAGCAAACGATTCTTATCAATACGATTCTTGTAAATATGGATGCCAACAGTGGAATTAGAGACCAACATGTCACACCTGGGTAATCTGAGTCCAGTTTTGTTCACCGCCCCCCCCCCCGCAACGCACATCACTTTCAACTCCCCTCCTCCACCTGTCCAAAATCCTGTGCTGTTGAAAGAGGGGAAACAATAGGTCTAAAGAAGTCCTGACATGCCTCGCACATGCCCCTCCCGAGATCATAGTAACCACATCATCTGGCCCTTGAGCTCATGCTGGTAGGCACTGGGGACTTGACATCAGGAAGCAGCATGGCCTAATGGTTACGCATGCGGACTTGAGCGCGGGACATGTCTGCATTCAGATCTCTGCTATACCCCTTCCTGGATGTGTGACTTTGTACAGATGACAAAACCTCTCTGAGTCTTAGTTTCCTCACCTCTCAACTGATGAGAATAATAGCACCTTCTTTTGAAGTATTAACCTCATAAGAACTATGAGAACATAAGAATCTAAGAACTATTGCTGGTGGGAAACAGTGCTTTGCCCAGTGCCCAGCACAGGGTAAATGCTCGTTAAATAATTCACAGTTCTTCTCAGTGTTGTTTATGACTGCTAGCTCTGTGTCAACAAGCTGTGTGCCCTTGGACAGGTTACTTAACCCCTCTGTGCCTCAGTTCCCTCATCTGTAAAATGGGGGTGATAGTTGTGTTGGATGCCTTCCTTCCGCCCCTCTAGCTACACGCTCCATCTTTCTCAACTTGCTCCCTGGCCAGGAAGCTGACCTGGGTGAACTGTATCAACAGCCTCCTCTGGCCCCTGGCACCCACTTAGGCTGAGCCAGTGGGAGGCCTGAGGGATGCTGAAAAGATAGGAATACTTAGCGTATGAGGATGAATCGAGGGGTGGGTGGGTCGCTGCCTGGAAGGGAGGCAGGTGAGGCTTCCCAGCTCGTCCTCACTGGTCGCACCACTGGCCTTTCTACTCATTCCACTCCTCCTCTCCCACCCGCCCCTTCGCCCTGTTCTTTGTGCTTCAGCCAGATGATACGTTTTCATTGCTTTGCATATATTAACAAATCTGACATGTGGTTGATGCTTTTCCTTATCCCGTTTTCCAGATGAGAAAACTGAGGCACTGGGACACTGAGTAATTCACCTGTGCAGCTTCCAGAGCGGGCGGCGTGCTGCCCTGCGTCCTAACCAATACACGTGTGATCCTCCTGCCTCACAGACCCTTTTCCTTACTCGTGTCTTGACTAATTCCTGTCCCTGCAGATCATAGCCTCTTAGAAATCTTCCCTGCAGGCTAGGGACAGTGCCCCTGCTGAGGACTCTCGCAGCCCCCTGTCCTCCCCTGTGCCGGCACTCACCACCCTGACTGTAATTGCTTGTTTAGTTGTCTGCCTTCTCTGCTCAGGGGTAACCTCTGTGACAGCAGGAAATGGATGCATCTAGCTTGTTTGTTGATGGATCACTAGTATCTGATATGTCCTCCAAAGTGTTCTTTGTGTGTATGTATTATAGTTGGGTGGATGGACAGGCAAGTGATTGGAAGGATGGATGGATGGATGGATGGATGGATGGATGGATGGATAGGTATATGGTTGGATGGATGCATTGAGTGGATGCGTCGTACAGTCTCATCAGCTGTACTAACTCTCACCACCTCCTCTGTAGGGGTTCTGTGAGAGCTTATTTTTTATTTCTCAGCTCAGCTCAGACCTCTTATATTTGGTAGATGTTCAAATGCATCTGTCACAAGGACACAGAAATCCACAAGGCAAAGTAATACTTACTTCCCTGTGCTAGAAAAGCCCAAAGAAACCTGGCAGCCCAACTAAAAATAATCAATATAGCTAAACACTGCTGAGCAATTACCAGGAGCCAGGCACAGTGTTAGGCAATGCCATTTGTTCATGGAATATTTGCTGAATGCCATCTATGTGCCAGGCACTGTTCTGGGCACTGGGGATACGTCAGTGAACCAAGTAGACAAAAACCCATCTAATGAAGACATTGTCTTGTTTAATCTTAACAATCCTGGGAGAGGGTAGATGCCGTTGATCTCTCTTTTCATAGAGCAGACACTGAGTTAAATAACTTGCCAGAGATTACAAACCTGGTAGTAACAGTACTGATGGCATTAGGAGCAGCTGAAATAGGGGATCAGCCCTTTGTTTGGGCCAGGATGGCTCGAAATCATTCCTCCTGACATCTGTTGTAGAAGGCAAGTGCTGCTGTCTTGCGGGTTTCTGTATTGAGGTTAAAACTCACATATTTACCAGTAATCATTTTAAAGTGTACAATTCAGTGGCATTCACTGCATTCACAGTGTCATGGAACCATCACCGCCGTCTCGTTCCAAGACCTTTTCATCACCCCAGAAGGAAACTTCGTACCCATTAGCTGTCACTCCCCCGCCCCTCAGCCCCTGGAGATCACTAAGCTGCTTTCTGCTTCTATGGATTTACCTGTTCTGGACATTTCACATAAATGGAACCTCATACGCTATGTGATCTTTTGTATCTGGCTTCCTCCCGTAGCATCATGTTCTCAAGGTTTGCCCATAATTGTAGCCCGTGTCATTGCTTTTTGTGGCTGAATAATATTCCATTATGTGGCCAGACCACCGTTTGTTCACTCATGTCTTGATCAACATTAGGATTGTTTCCACTTTTGAGCTATTGTGAGTAATGCTGCTGTGAACACTCATGGACAAGTATCTGTCTAAACAGTTTTTCCGGGTAACTACCTAAGAGTGGAAATGCTGCGTCGCTAGGTAACGGTTTGACTGTTTGAACAGCTACACAGCTTGGCCCTCCTGGCAAGTGCTGTTTTTATTCCCATTTTTCAGAGGAGAAAACACGCAGTGAAAGGTTAAGAAAGCAGCCCAAGGCCACACAGCTTGTAAGTGGATGAGTGAGGACTTGAACTCAGGCAGTCCAACTCCAGAACCCCAGCTCTGAGATACTAGACAATAACTCCCTCCCCTCTACATTTCCTGGACTCCTTTGGGCAGTTCTGCAGAGCTGACTGAGCAGTGGAATCTCCCTGTGCACCATCTATATGAAGTCTCCCCAAGTTCAAGCCGTGGCTACCTCACTTCCTTCTCCTTCAACTGGGCACTACTGGGGACAAGGGGTGGGATGGGACCCGGCACCTTGTCCCTGC